TCTCAATATCGGTAATTAAAAAAAAAGGATGACGCAAGGTGTTGACTTAACCAAATCCATATAGAGACATTATGCTCATTATTAATCAACAACAGATCACTCCTTCATAGGAATCAACAACTCTTCATCACAAGCTTCTTGTTTGATTTACTTGTCCTTCTATTCTTTGAAGCACCATGCATGACCATACTGTATGTGATAAATGAATCATTCCTCCTTCCCCTTTTTATGTTTTGGTTTGTAACCTCACTTCTTATAGTATTTGCTTGTATTGGATTTTGTGTCCCTTTGTGGTTGCAGATTTAGCAGTGGAATGGGGCTTGCACTTTTTGTGACAAGCTCTGGTATTCTCAAAAGATCATTGGATGTTATCTCATCTCGTCATGAAGGCATGGTTTCAAACGGTGGCGTGGGACTTTCATGGAAAGTTTATAAAAAACCGTATTCAGATGTGATGATTATACTGTCTGTGATCCATATTTTTTTCTCTCTCTCCTTTTTGTATATAAGCCTCACACACACACACACACACACACACACACATATATATATATATTTTGATAAAATTGGAGGGCCAAGCCCAGAAAATTAAATTGACAGACTATTCAAGTACAAACTCAACTGCTCCAACAACAAGTTGGAACTCAAAACCAACCAAAAAGGAAAATTATTAACAGGGGGAGAGGAGTAAAACATCAACTCTTCACCCTTGAGACTAAAACCAATCTTAGCTAAAAAATCTACACAAATATTGGATTATCTAGGGATAAACTCTAGTTGCAAATCTTCAAAATCTTGAGCAGCTATTCGGATCTTGTGAATCAGAGATGAGAACCCGCAGATATTAGCCTCCTTTTCCAAGCAAAGAATAGCCTCTTTGTTATCACAACCAATCCAAATCTTGGTGTATTTCAAATCCCCAGCCATCTTGAGGCCATGATATAAGCCCCATAATTCAGCTTCCAAAGCAGAACATTTACCTATATTATATGAGAATCCACCTTTCCACTCTCCACTAGGGGAACAAATCAAACCCCCATTGGCTCCTTTACTCGAAGCTAAATTGTAGGCACCATCAACAAATATTCTAGCCTGACATTGTATCTTAATTTGTCCTTTATTTCCAGAATTAACATTAACATCAAAACCAGACCAAGGAACAACAGAATCAGACCCATTAATATTAACATCAATAGGGCTGCTGGTTCTCTTCACATCAGATAGGTAAGCTATAATTGTATGAATTGGATCTTGAGGTAAAGAGGAAACATCTTCATGGACACTAAAATTTCTCCACTGCCAAAGAAACCAACATGTCACAAAAAAGATCTCCTTCCAGGATTGCCAAAGTTGACTGGAGAATTGTTGAAACAGGTTTAGTTTAAACCAATATATTCCTTCAACAGATAAAAAAATATTTGGAACAAAGCCTGAGAACCATCTTTCCTAAATTTGCCTAGCCACCTTACAATCTCTCAACACATGCAAAACTGTTTCTTGACATCCATAACAGGTGGGACATCCAACTTCCCCTCCATTCCACTGACCTGTCATATACCTCACATGCTATTTAAGCATGCAAGCCAAATGAATACTGCTATCCTATAAGGGCCTCTCTATCTCCAAATAGTAGTCCAAATTTTATCCTTTCCAATAGTAGGTTCGGATAGATGGCAGTATGCATTCCTCACAAAGGACTTGCTTGGACTACTCCACTTCCAATTCAAAGAGTCATCTGGGTCATCATTGACAGGAGGTCTAATACCTTTAAGTTTATTTATGGTATTAATATCTAACCACTTCTGAAGACAGCTCCATCTCCAATCTCCTGTACCTGGATCAACATAATCAATATTTTCAAAGGAATCTGGGAGTCAGGAGGTTTACACACAGCAAGGTCATAAAAACTCATATTCTAACCTCCCCACAAATCAGTCCAGAAACATATCTCCTTTCCATTTCCAACCACCCACTCAAGATGTTGGATTAGGCTCTCTCTAGCTATGCATATATTCTTCCACAAAGGAGAATCAGTAGCTTTTGAGATTAAATAGCGGTCTGGCTTTAATTTCCTACCATACTTGCCTAGCATAACCTGAACCCATAGGCTGCTATGATCATTCATGACCTTCTAGGCTAATTTCTGCATAAATGCTGAATTCTGCCTTCTCAGATTTATAATGCCTAGCCCACCACATTCCTTAGGAAGACACATCTGCTCCCAAGATACATAGTGAGCTATTCTTTTACTATCAGAGTCCCCATAGATGAAATTCCTCTGTAGTCTCTCAACTTCTTGACACACATGAACAGGCAGCATACTGTTTTGCATATGGAAAGAGGGTATGGCAGAAATAGTACTCTTAGCTAAAGTAATCCTACCTGCCAAGGAAAGGCACTTTGATTTCCACCCTTGAAGTCTACCTTGAACTCTAGATATAACATCAGCATAATGGTCCCTTTTAACTCTTCCATGCCTCATCAAAGACCCCAAATAACATCCAATCTTGCTGACTTTTTTAAAGCCACTCACAGCAGTAACAAAGTTAATTATCTTCTGATGTACATTCTTAGAGAAATATATACAGGACTTCTCTACACTAACACACTGTCCTGACATTACTGAAAATTTTTCCAAGCAGTTGGTGATTGATTCCAGTTGAGACATAGAAGCTTCAGTAGAGAGAATGACATCATCTGCAAACATTAAGTGAGATATTACTGGACCAGTTTTACCAGCCCTTATTGGCCTCCACCTTCTAGCTTCCACCTCATCCATAATTAGATGGGTTAATTTCTCCATACATAGGACAAATAGATAAGGGGATATTGGATCCCCTTGCCTAATCCCACGTTGAGTACTAAAGCCAGCAGTCCTAGCACCATTCCACAACACCTCCAAAAAAGGACTAGTCACATTGACAAATAGTATCTCTGTTCCATCATCCAGGCATTGCTTAATTTTCAATTTTGAGTGTTGTTTTTTCATCAACATTCTTTCAAAGTTAATTTACCTTTTTATTTTTAGTTTTTCACATAACTGTCTACCTTTTTACTTTTATGTATAATGCACTAATGGCGGGGTGAGAATATATATGGTGGCAACGATTAGGTGATGATGGAAGAAAAGAGTATTTTTGTGATATGATTACTAAATATGTTTAATTTTTTTAATTTAATAATATGAGGGGGTTAATTATTTGGATTGAAAATGTAGGGTGGTCTTTTGAAAATAACCCTAATTACAACGTGGTTTTATGAAATGTAGCCTATTTAAAATTGTAAACAGCAAAGACTATCCACAATTACATTCTAACCTTTGCACAAACTTTTTGATAGCTATAAAGTAATAATCAATTCACCTCACGATTGATTTAGTAAATGATGAATTTTTAATAATTTTTATATTATATCTATTTAACATATCTCTTCACACAAAACTTTGAAATATGAATATTGCATATGTCCCCTTTTTTTTTATTATACCTTGTACTAATAATAACACGGACCATCTATAGCAGATCCACAATTCAATTTCTCTGCATAGTAAGAAAATCAAATAAGTGGAAGAAAAAAAAAAAAAACTACCTGGCCACACTGTGAGGGCATCATTGAAGTAAACAACTTAGAATTGGCAAACAACACTTTTAACTTGAAAAAATTAAAGTGAAAGAAAAATCAGAGGATTCATTTTACAATTCATTCAAATCTTCACTATCACTAAATAATAATAATAATAATAATAATAATAATAATAATAAGATTAGTAGTAGTAGTAGTAGTAGAGTAAGTACACAAATACAATGTTCTCAAACTATATAGGTAGCAGTAGAGTAATCAAATAATATCATCTAAAAATATATATAAAAAAAGCAATAAAGGAAGTCACCAAAAAAGTTTCCAAGGATAGAGACTTTCAAATCACAAATTAACTATTGGATATGAAGTATTAATTATCATGAACACCTCCCAAAAATTTGATTACATTGCGCCAACATTTAATTCGCCGGAGAAAATCTTGTGTGTTTTCTTCTTTCTTTTTCTTTGTACTGTTTTTTTTCCCTCGACTATGCTGTTTCTTTTTTTTTTTTTTCTTCCTCCAAGATAGTCGCATACTTGCACAATTGCTCGTACTCTTTCTTAAACTAATTAAAGTAGAAAAACATTTAACGGGCCATGGGCCCACAAAACATTTGTCACGGACCTATCGGTCCGGTGGTGCACATAAAATTGCAATATCCTTATGTGATGTGCATAAAATTATGTAATATTGGAACGTGTTTTATGTCAATATGTTCTATTTTCTAAACAAATGATAGTTCATACTTCTTTCAGAAATCCTATATAACATCGATCACATGTAGGTATTTATCTTTCTTACAATATAATTCATTACAATAATATCTAAGTAAAATTAAAATTTTCATTATAATGGATTTTATTGGATGCATGTATATATACCAAATGTGGCTCCAGCTCTATTAATGCCGACCCAAGGTTTATAAATGGAGACGATACACATGACGTGACTAAATAGGCAAAATACAAACATAATTGGAGTCCGTTTAATTAGATGAAACTACAGATCGACAACGCATGAAAGTTAGTTTGTTCATTTGAGGATATGGTGTAAAGAATTAATTCAACCAAAACAATTAAGTTGTTCGGTGAGAAATTTTTTAATAATTTATATTATTCTCTAACACACCCCTTCACGTAAGAGTCATCTGAACTTGAAGTTTGATAGCATGTAAATAACCAATTAAATCAAAAAAATTAAGTCATTGGATGAAGACCTTTTTAATAGTTTATTTTATTTTCTAACTTAATGCGTAACTGCATGTTTTATGATCATAATTAATCATTAATGTAGCTCCGGTTAATTCTTTGAGAATATATCCACACAAAAAGAAATGCTTTGAGAATATACAGTACTCGTATAAAAAAAGGAAGGAGATTACATGAAGCAAATCGAAATTTTCATTGAGGTAAGAGGGTAGAACCAAACTGGAACAATATGACTAATTTATTGAGGAGGGATCAAATGAGAGATTGGACACACAACAATAACCATAAATGGTTGCAGTGGTTTTTAATTTATTTTATTTCATGGTGTAACGCAATCACATGATGGAGCAAATGTTGGGGTATGGTCCGTATGGATCATAAACCACGCAGGAAGAGGGATAAGGAACACATGGAGGAGGAGGAGGAGGACAATAACACGGTTTTTTAGGAGGGGGAGGAGGAGGAGGATTTTCAACTTTTTTCTTCATTTCTTCCACTCTCACAACGTTGACACAGCGGAAATTCTTCACCAGCTTCCGACTCAAGCACACCACATCCATATCTCCGGTCACCGTAAGTTGATCTCCTTCTACTGCCACTGAACTCACACCTGCATGCATGTTTTGTTGATATTTAATTACAAATTCGGAACCAGCAACAAAATATCATTACTTATCGTTACATATATATATAGCTAGGCATGTCTAATTTGTATATCCCGTACTTTTTAATTCTAATGTATGTAAATATCAACAAAATCATTAGAAACATGCACCTTGTGTGTCAGCTGCTATCTTGAGTGCCTTTCTTCTGCATTTGTCACACTTCAGTTCCAGCCGTATCACTATTTTCTGCTACAAAAGTTGGCAGTTTAACGAATATATTACTGCTTGATTCGTTGCAATTGCAAACCATAAAACTGAATATACAATTCATCACACACACATATATATTTATATATACGTGATAGGATCATTTGATACCAGTATCTTAAAGTTTGATACCTTATCTGAGAACCGTTATATAAAAAAAATCAACGACTCTGATTGTAAACATGTGACACTATTAATCTTTTTTGATTTAACTGCTCTCACATGAGGTACCAAACTTTAAATTTGATACCAATATCAAAGAATCCTACCCTTGTATATATATATATATTGCAGTGATCATTTTGCAGATGTGTAAGGTCTCACCTTCATGTTTTGATTGCTTGAAACAAACTAATGATTTTTCTTCTTCTTGTCTTGTGGTGGAGAGATCGAGCCTAACTATTTGTGCCTTAATATTATATGTATATATATAGGTGAGTCTAGCAGGGATTTTTTGCGTGTGTGTAATGGAATGCTAGTTGACTTGACTCTATACTCGCAAAAGGAGACAAAGGGAATTAAATGACCGAAAGGGTCACCTTTGAGTGTTAAAGATCAGAAACTTCTAGTTGAAAGACTATAAACTTGATACGACTACACTAAAAAATTAAGACAAAAATGTGTACTAAATGTATTTTTTATTTTATTTTTGGATTAAAAATGTATTGTTTTTATTTAAAAATATTGTAATAAAATAACGTTGAATAATGTTCTTGCAGAAAATAAATTCATCAGTTTATTTATGTTTTTATACATATCCTAATTATCTCCTCGAGACTAGTCAGCTTCTGAGTATCTTTACAAGCTTCAGCTCTTTAAGTCAATTATGAGATTATTTTCGAATCAAGATTTAATCACAATTAAACCTCTTCATCCCTCTCAAAGATATATTTGATAGAAATTAAATCCAATTTTTTCCCCCACTTAACTTAACAACTGAGCACTTAAAAAATTGAATTGATATACTCGCAGTGACCATGAAAATTGACAAAGGCTTTTAGGAAATTAAGTTGGACTAGCTGTACAGTTGTAGGTTAAAAAATAGTTATTTGCTTTTATATAATTAATTTATAGTAAATAAATACATTTAAATATAATCCACACATAACATACAACATAAAAATTACTTTTGTGATTTATATATCAGAAAAATATTTCAGTAGTTAATACAGATAAGTTATCTGAATTTACTTCCAACACGATGTCGTTTTGAGATTAAAATATTAAAAAATTATAATTATAAAGACTATAATAACCCTGAAATAAATTAAAATTACAAAAACACCATGATTTTAGCCCCAAAACGACGTCGTATTGTGCTTACTGCAGAAAAAGTGAACCCTATATATATATATGGAAAAAATGTATGTCATTTTAAAGGATGTAAAATTGTGTCATTTTAAGTGAGAGAAAGAGATAGATAAATGTGGAGAAAGTGTGGACACAAAAAAATAAAGATGTGGGTCTCACCCCTTTGTGAGAGTGAAATGATATAAGTTGTGTCATTTAAAAGGATAAACATTTTTTCCTATATATATATATATATATATATATATATATAAAGAGTTCGCTTTTTCTGCAGTTACTGTAGATAAGTTATCTGCAGTAAGCCCAATATGACGTCATTTTGGGACATAAATTATGGTGTTTTTGTAATTTTAATTTATTTCAGGGTTATTATAGTCTTTATAATTATAATTTTTTAATATTTCAATACTAAAACGACGCCGGTTTGGAAGTAAATACAAATAACTTTTCTGCATTAACTGCAGAAATATTTTTATGATATATGAGTTCGCTTTTCCTGCAGTTACTGCAGATAAGTTATATGCAGTAAACTCAATACGACGTCATTTTGGGGCAGAAATCATGGTGTTTTATAATTTTAATTTATTTCAGGGTTAGTACAGTCTTTATAATTATAATTTTTTAATATTTCAATCCTAAAACGAAGTCGTTTTGGAAGTAAACGCAGATAACTTATCTACATTAACTACTGAAATATTTTTTTGATATAGGGTTCGCTTTTTCTGCAGTTACTGCAGATAAGTTATCTGCAGTAAGCTCAATACGACGTCGTTTTGGGGCAAAAATCATGGTATTTTTGTAATTTTAATTTATTTCAGGGTTATTATAGTCTTTATAATTATAATTTTTTAAAAAATTTTGACCCCAAAAGGACGTCGTTTTGGAAGTAAATGAGGATGATTTATCTGCATTAACTGCTAAAATATTTTTCTGATATAGGGTTTGCTTTTTCTGCAATTACTGCAGATAAGTTATCTGCAATAAGCTCAATACGATGTCGTTTTAGGGAGAAAATCATGGTATTTTTCTAATTTTAATTTATTTCAGGGTTATTATAGTCTTTATAATTATAATTTTTTAATATTTCAATCCTAAAACGACATCGTTTTGAAAGTAAATGCAGATAACTTATCTGCATTAACTGCAAAAATATTTTTTTGATATATATATTACGTAATGTTTTTATTCTTTTGTAATATACATATTTAGTTGTATGAATTAGATAGTAATATAAATTTATGTAAAGTGCTTATTTATCTGTAATATAAATATTTATTCTCATAATTTAGATATTAACATACTTACATGTAAATTTTTTATCAATGTTATGCAAATATTATACTATATTTTTTGAATGCCTTTTTACATAAAGTTTTCTTCTCCATTTGTAATAAATATTTATCCATGTGGCCATGTGATTTAAAAAGTTGAATCTGTGTCCTGATATATTAACTTCATAGCAAAATTTAGGTAGCTGAGTGTATTATTCTAAGAATACATAAAAAATTGTACGAGAGTAGAAAGGTAAAGTGTAGAAAATATAGCCCTGATAAATGCAAGTGTTCGTTTTGCCCAAGAATCTTGAGATTGTGAATGCTGATTATGTACTAGTTGATTTTTACTACTTCTGAACGGGAGGTTGCAGTACTAAGTCAGCTTTCAAATAGCAACATTGTAAGCGAACTGGTACATTTTGGTTTCGATTGTCCTAGAGTAAACTAGTACTTTATAAATTTACAAAGTACAGAGTATAGACCACAATGACAATATATATGCATGTATGATTCTTTCTAGTTCTTGTTTGCATGTTTATTCTTCTCGGTAACTGAGACTAACACATAAAATCGGACAGCGAAATCAAGGGGCACAAACATATTATTAGACAGTGTTATTAAACTCGATCCGAACATCGATTGCGTTAGGATATTGAGTCACTGATCAAATCGATGAGTCACTGGTAGAATAATACACTGATCAAATCGATGGGTTACTGGTAGAATCAGTTGACTCGAATATATATAAAAATATAAATAAGTATGAACATATAAATTTAATTATATTCTCTATATTTAAAATGAATTAAATAAGGTTCACTAAATAAGTTCAAAAACATGAAACATAAATAAATGAAAATGCATGTTCTTACTATGTCAAATTAAATTACAATTCAAAAACTCCATAAACATACTTCTCAATAATATTGAATTCATATTTTTCAAATTCATCTATATTAAAATGACATATGTCACATTCTCTTAATTTATTATTTCGCAAATTACTTTGGTAGTGGGAGCTGAAATTTTATAAAAGAGTATACTAGCAAATAAAATTATAAAAAGTTTTTAAAATGAGTTCTACATTTTTTTATGACAAGATGGAATAATTTTGGTTTTTGTTTTTGTTTTTAAAAAATGCTTAACCCGATCGGGTCACCGATTTTGACTGGGTTGTCTGAGTTTAGCCGAGTTTTGATCGGGTTTGACTTGATTCAATGCATCACCGGTCCAATGCTTGATCTGAACGGGTTCGATGACTGATTCATTAGGTTATGGGTCAATTCGACCGGTTCGAGCCGAGTTTTAAGTACATTTAGGTAATTCAGAATACTAGTTTGTTATACATATGCTACTATATGAAGGGCTATGCTACTATGCTATTCTTATGCATATGTTGATTTCTTATCAATGATATTAAATTTGAATCGGTTATCGATTCAGTCGAGATATTGAGTTAGTGAGTTATTAGTTAAATTGCATGACCTAAAAAATATATAAATTTATAATTTATATTTAATTATTTAATAAATAATTTTAATAGTGCAATTTAACCAATAATCCAATATAATTAAATGCTAAGTACTATAATTTATATTCCCTTAACTATGGTAAGCACTAATGATAAATCTTATATTTGTTATTCTCACATATGCAGGTTACAGACTAACAGTCCACTTCTTTTAGGAGTAGGGCCCATCTCACATAACCAAGTAGAGACTCTCACTTGGGTAGGGAAAATTTTTAATATAATACAGATGTAGGTGCGACAAACCAATAAAATTATGTCACCTTAGTAACTAGCAGTTAGTCTATTGGAGCGAGAAAAAGAAAAATAATCTTTTTGTTTTTACATTATGAGCTCGTTTATTTGGATTTATAGAATAAATAACTTGTATCTCTTTTTTATTTTAGAAGTATTTTTTTATAAAAGTTAAAGTTATTTATATTTTTATAAAAATATTTAACTTTTGAAAAAATATTTGACTTTTGACTTTACTTTTTTTAAAAGAAAATTTTTAATTTCTTAAAAAAATAAATTTTTAACTTTTTTTATGATTTCTATTTTTTTTAAAGTAGACGCTCAAATGAATTTAAAGTAAAAAATATTTTTGTTTCCAAACAGAAATTATGTATTGGTATTTGGTAGTACATACTATAAAATCCAAAAAAATAATGCACTCCTTCGATAGACAACGTGGCACCCCTCCTAAGTATGTTGGATAGTCTCTCTCGCAAATCACAATCACCAACAGACCCGTCCTTTTGGAAGCAGGGCCCATCTCACGTAACGACGTAGACTCTCTCACTTTGATAGACCTTCACGTGGCACCCCTCCTAAGTATGTTGGATAGACTCTCACAATCACCAACAGACCCGTTCAGGCTAAGTACATTGGATGCTATTTGCTTTTCTTTTCTTTTTTTTTTAAACCAATGGTATTATTTACATAAGCGGAACCAAATATATACCACTTCAATCAATTCTCTCTAATTCTTTGTTTAAAAATCTCTTAGGACTTCTGTACATATAATTTAAGCGGGACTATGTTGACAAAATAGGTTGAAGTGGTTTCTGGTATTCTGTCTCTGGATTGCTGAACCTTTGTCCGTATTAGAAGTAAATGATTAGGACCAGGCATAAATGACACACAACCCCATCACCCATTTAGTTAGAAACGCTGCCAAAGGTCCATGGGTAAATGTTTTCTTCTCATGCACAAGTTTTCCGAGATATCAAAATAAATGTAATTGAATGTGTGGAGGAAAATTCTGAAGCTCAGAGTTGATTATAAAGCTCTTATGAAGTATGAAATTAGTAGCAGTGCTTGTAAGAATCTTTGAACAGACAAGATGTTATATGATCAATCTCTTCAAATTTAGCATACAAAATGACAAGTGGTGTTTGCAATACTATTGAAGTTAGATTCACTTAAAGAGTTACGAAGGATGGTGATTACCCCTAGCTTATTGCAAGGTCAAATATTTTGGTTCAAGTACAAATTAAATGTATTAATATATAGTCAGATAAAGGATACTGTGAGATTGTGAGAAGGTAGATTATTTCAAGAAAAAACCTTTCTTATGATGATGGTAGTATGAATACTTGTATATATTTCCCAATGAAATGGACTCTTCAGAGTCTTTTCCTTTCAGGAATAATAGGACAGCCATGGTAGGAGTTATTGTCACTTTGTCAGAGTCTCAGAAGTTTATCCCAGTAAGGATCCTACGGTAAAAAAAAAAAAACATCATGACTCATGAACAAGATCAGTCACTTATGATGCAAACTACAAAGTTCTAGCAATGACAAATTAATTAGGTAAAGAACAGATACAATCCATCAAAAACATTAAATGAGCATGTTATCCTCGTTTAAATGACTTAAGCCACTGTTTTTTTGTCAAATACACATTTTTCACGACCTAGCTAAATCATTTTTGTCAAATGATTTAAGCCACTGTTTTTTTTTTTTTGGTTATATATACAAATAAAAATTGAACTCATAACTTAATACAACTTACTTAAATTCCTCACAAAATCATTTCTAGTGGCTTCACGACTTTCTTTTCAACTTCCATCAAATATCTCACGAGAATTATGCAAATGAACTGAATTATCATTAATTAGTGGTTAATATAATAGATTCAACAGCTAGTCTTTTGTCTCATGAGTGAGAAACAAATAATAGAAGATACTGCCTTGGAGCCATATACGGATGGCTTGATCCCGGCTTCAAATTATTACAGTGATTTAGTTATTTATAAGCTTTCACATAAAGTTTTCATTTTCGTGTCTTGGAATTATTTACTTATGCAATGAAGATATGACTGTTCTTCTTTATTAATATTTTTTTCTTCTGTGTTTTAGATATTAATATGCATTAATATAAAGTTTTCATTCCGTGAATGTAAATATTTATATATCAAATTTAAATATTAATATACTTTCTCGTAAAATATTTATTCCGATATGATGTATATATTTAGTCGTGCAATGTTATGCAACCATTTCATGCTTGTTTATTGTAATTAAGTTCATCCCCAATTCCTGACATTCTACTCCCATTTATAATCAATATATTTCTAAACAACATGCTCAAACACAACTTTCTAAGTATCAATTTATGATTTAAATTTTCATATCATGCAAAATGGCTCCCTCCCTCTCCCTCCCTCTCTCTCTCTCGCTCTCCTTAGCTGAAAATATTAGTAAAGCCTCTGCTGCCGTTGTGTTCATGCCTTCATAGTTTCTTATAATAAATACAAAATATCCTGGGATTAGAATTTTTTTAAAATGAACTTATTTTTAAAATGACTAAATCATGACATGAAATCATGTGCAAAAATCTCAACTATGCAAACACAAATCAATGATGATGAGAGAACACATTCAAATCAAGGGTGAAAATTTATATGTAAATGATTAAAATCTTCTCACATCACCTCATATCACATGAGAGCATTCATTCCCATAAATAATAGTGTGTTTACAATTAATTTAATTTAAAATATATCATAATCTTAACCTACTTAAATTCTAGAGTAAATACATTCTTATTTATTCATTTTAAAGAGAAACTCACTATATAGAATTTTATTTCAATATCATGCACTAAGCACCAAGCTTACGTAGAGTATCAACGTTTATGCTTCTTAAAGAGAGAATATGACACTAACCTTACAAAAAAAGGTTGTTACACAACCCTAAAAAGATTAAGATTAAATGTATGTACGCAAATCCTTGGTGCCCCCAAAATGAATTGATCATTCCACAATTAATAGCACAAAGCATCAGACCTACAACTTTTACACCACATGGCATTTACTGATTGTGCAACACTATTAGCAAGAACCAGGTCAATCTTTTGCCCTTCAACAGAACCCTGATCAATGAGTTAATTTCATTCTAGAACCCAATTAGAATATACATAAATTGAATTAAAGAAAAAAACATCAATTATGCTTATAAACAGTACATAAAAGACAAGTTGCTTCATTTCCTTAAACCACAACCACCCTGATGAAACAAATGTACAGCTATCTTCAGTTTCATATACATGGTACATTACTATACTGCAAGACTAAGAAAAAACCGAAGTGCATTAATCTTTGTAATTTCGAATGGAGCATGTTTGAGGTAATTTCATTTTCAGGATTTCCATGTTAACATTTTACAATAACCCAGACTATGCTGACAAAATTGGACCAAGTATACACACAAGGCTTGACATAATGTGATAACCTAGTAACATCTCTAAAACACTAATTATCAACTCAAAATGAATAATCCTTCAAATCAGATTTTGAGTCACCCAATTCCATGTCTGCCACGCACTCTTCCTCAGTAAGTGGTGGGAGTTGCCTTGTCTTACGCTTCATATTGTGCTTGTGCCACTCACTCTTGTGGTGTTCTCTGTACAGCTTAGAGTCTTCAAAAGAAACATTGCATGTGTTGCACTTGTTTTGCTTTTGTTGTTGTGCCTCACTAGGGCTACTCGTAGATGAAATTGTTTGCTTTTGAAGTTTATCATTCAGTTCAAGCACAGATTCCCGAGTTTCTTTGGGCAATGGGGCAGGCATATCCTCATGCTCATTGTATTGCTCCACATGGGTATCTCCCTCCAGATATAGAGAGTGTGCAAGAACTTCAAATCTTCCATGCATGGTATTCATAACAAAGTCATGACAATCCTTATATAGACCAGGTTCCAATTCAAAAACCTGCAACCCAACCAGGAATTATACCGATTTTCCTCAACAAGTTAGCAGATTCAAGATTAACCACAAACATATCCATATATGTAGACACACTAGACACAGAAATTTGAGAAAGGATTTCATTTTCAACCATTAATGTTATTATACAGGGACTATACATTAACAAAATTTGAAACTGAAGAATCATGGAACAGTTACCGAAATAGACTTCCCATTTGCTTTTTTATGTGTTATTTGGTTGTTCTTTTGTGACTGAAAGGTCACAGGTTCGAATCCGGAAAACAATCTATTTGCAAATATGTAAGGGTAAAACTGCGTACAAAGATTACCCTTACCCCACCCTCGTTAGTCGGGGTTTAACGGGAAGTGATTTTATTTGGTTGGGATTGAGGGTCAGGCAAGAAAAGAAATCAAAAAATGAAACTGAATTCTGCATAGGTTAGTACTCTTCTTCGTTTTACAGATATAACATGGCTATAACTAATGAGAAAAAACAACCACATGCCCAATATCAGACACAATCTGCTAACAGCAACAACTGAATATTTTGTCATGTTTTTTCCAGCTTTATTTTTGCTGATGAGCGTAAACTCAAACTCGAAAACAATAACCACATAAAATGGAGGAAAATGAAGTTAACGGCCTAATCTTTTAAACCATTAACATAATGATACTTTAATTTCAGTTTCAAGACATAGTATAGCAGGAGTTAAAAGGGCAACCTACTGCTACTATAATAGCTCCCGCTATGTTCAAGGTCCACCAGAAGGGTCAAACCCATTGAGTGGGTCTATAGTCTTTAGTAACTTACATTTGCAAAAGAAGCTAATTACATGATTGGAACATGTGAACTCAAGGTCACATATATAACAACACCACCAATCATTGTAGCTAAGCTAAACTGAAAGTGGAATGGAACCGCAAACAAAAGTTAGAGGATGAATACAGAGGACTTACAACAGATAACTGAGCAGCAGATCCTTCTTTAGAAAGAACAGTTGCCTTCCACTCATTAAGCTTTTCTAGAAGGGAAGGGATTTGGTCCTCAGGAGCAGCAGCTCTTATTCTCAACGGACACCGTTTTATAGGGTAGTGCTTTTGAAGCTCTTGAATCAACTCCAGAGCCTGTACATAAAAAAACAACAAATTTGCATCATCATCATCATCATCACACAATTGGGAATGAGTTAAATTGTGAAATGAGAAGATTATAAAAGAGAGACCTGCTTCTTGGAGGTGCTGTTTGGATCAACAGCGAAATGGATTTCCCTCATGAGACGTTCGATCATGCTGATAGTGTAAGGGCGCTGAGTCTCTGGATTGTAAGTTTTGTGCATCACAATTGTAGCAATGTCCCTGAACTGATTTGACAGCATCGATTCCCTCTCTTTCCCAGCAACCTGAAGTTCCCCTTTCTTCAAAATCTGCAACCAACCACAAATCACTTCATCACACACTCACAAACACACAAACACACACACACACACAACATTTCATCAAACAAAACATGATGGGACCCTCACCTCTAGGCATATCTTGGAGTGGTCATCTGTCCCAAACGCTGCGTTCAAATCCTTAGACTTGGCCAGAACCCCTTTCGAAACATTGGTATAAACGGTGTGAGACTGCACCACTTCATCGATGTCCTTCTCCCTGTTGTTATAATTAATAGCTAAATTCGAAGTTTATGGAATGTAATAATACTAATAAATGAAAAGGAAACTTACACGCCGGAACGCCAAGAAAGGACGGTGTTAGGGTAACAAGCGATCTCGAAACGCATGCCGTGCTTCTTCAGACGCACCACCGCCACGTTCGTTAGTTTCTTCTGCCCTATCGGCTGCACCAACGACCGAGACATCTCTCTCTCTATCTCTCTCCGACAATGGGTTAGGGCACGGAACTATAAAAATATATTAATAAAAAATAAAAATAAATAAATTAAATGCAACATGAAAATGAAATGCCTTTCTTACTAAAATTAAAAACAAGTAAGTAAAATAAATGCTTCTTTTATTGATAATTTTAACGCGAGTAAAATAAATGATTCTTTTTCTGAGTTCAGTGTGAGGCTGGGCTGGCGGCTGTAAGGGTTTTTGTTTTGGGCTTAGGCCCATTATTATCGAAAGGGGATGAAAAATCCGTACCAGTTTGTGTTGAGAGTTTTGAATCAGTATGAGAGTTTACCAACGAAAAAAAAGAGTAGAAGCTGCGGAGAGAATGGAATCCTCAGAGGGGTTGGAGGTGAAAAGCGAAGAGGATTCTACGCCTAATAATAAATGTAGCAAGTTCTACGATGTCTATGGTCCCCAAGTAATTTTTCTTCTCTTTATTATGCTTTTATTTCCCTATTCAATCATAATTTTATTTTATTTATTTATTTATTAAAACTCCTTCTTCAGAAGAGGGTTTTTTGTTTTCTCAGTGTATAATGAACAGGAGTTATTTTAATCGGCTGTGCTATTGCAGGGGAAGGCAGATATTGTTTTCAAGTCACCTGAAGATAATTCAACTCTGAATCTTAATGTAGGTTCTTACCACCACCATGTAACTTGAAATTTGAATTAAAATAATTATGACTGGGGTTTTTATTGTGAAACAGGACATTCAAGGACTTATAACTTGGGTCCTTGGTGAAGGATTTATGCCATCATGGGCTTTCATCAAGGTACAAATATATTTTTTATTTTTTTATTTCAACAAATATCTTGGCAACAGAATATATGACCAATTAAATTTTATTTCTAATTGTTTAGTACTTACTGTATTTCAAACTGCTTTCATCAAGTGCGTTTTGCTCCTGTACTCATGGTAGTTGGAACTGCATGAATTGATACAGTTCGAATGGAGTATTAGTTAAAATAGCAACAGACCTTCAATTTTTAGCCCTTACAGCATATCACTTTTTTATTTTGGTACAATTACTAATAATGCAGCACTCACGATTTGCAGAATAAACCTCTTATTCCTAAAGTGGTTATGCTCTATATGCCAGGCCTGGATGCAGCTTTGTTCTTGTCACAGTCTAAAATGCTTCCCAATTTTAAAAAATTGTGCGGAAAACCAAGGCCAGTCCTAGCTCTTAGGTGTGTAGAAAATGTATTTATTTCTTATTTCCTTCAAAATATTGTTCCTCTACACTTAGATTTTTCCATTTTTTTTTTTTTTTGCTAGCTGTGTATCAGATGGTATGCAGACAATAGATGCACTCCTAACATGCAAGGTGAAAAGAAAGAGAGATCAAAATAGTTCAGTTATGAGGAAGTCTACCCTGATATCTCGACAAGGTTTTCATTCTTCAAACCATTATATAAAAGTTTCATTTGCTAGGGGAAATTAGGTCTTGAATCTGAGTTTAAGTTGTACAAGGAGGAGAATGGACAAAAATTCTTAGAAAGGCTTTGTCTAAAATGCTGTGGAGTCAATAAAGCTATTTGAACTGCCTTTTTATACTTCTACTCTCCCAGTCAAAGTATTACAATGGTTGGAAGTCCTGATATAGTTGATGTCGGTCCCTGTATTTTGCCTCTTAATTAATTCTTAGGAGTTTTTGTATCATAGCAAGAACAATTAGCATTAATCTGGAATTTTTCCGTTAAACTATTGTGTATAGTTTATGAATGTTGACTGATCCGAGTTTGAAAAATTAAGATCACCATTCTTATAGTTTAAATAAAAAAAAAGTTTTGAATCTGACAATGCAACTGCAAGTGAAGGCCATTGATTCCTTTATATAGTCCATTCATATTTAAAAAGATTACTAAAAGTTTCCTGCTTCTAGTGTGTTGCTTTTTGTACATGAAGCAACTTTATTTGAAAAGTTCTTTTGCTGGCCACAAACATGATTGCATCACTATCATTTCAAAGCAGTTATATAACTCCTATGGATTTGGTCACTATATGAAACATATGACATCTTAATGCAGAAGGAGGCTGTGGTTGTACTGACAGTCTATCATTTATGGAGCTTACAAAAGACATTCCTTTCCCTGTTACATACTATACACTAACAGAGAAAGAACTGGAAGAGAATGGATATTCTGTTAATAAGCCAGGTGACTTTTGCTCCGCTACCAATTATATGTGCCAATCTTTATGGCCATTTGCTTACAGGACACTTTATTTTTTGCGCATTTAATACAGGCTTTGTTTCTACTTTGCCCGCTCCTTTGGGATCTTCTTTTTATGAGATGTTGGCACTTGATTGTGAGATGGTAAGTCAATCAATAACAGTTTAGTTTGAAGATAATACTGTTTTTATCATTTAGAAATGAAGTTCTGGATGATGATAAACTTATCCAGATTTTATCAGTCAGAGGGAGCAATTTTCTGTGTTTTTGGAAACATACTCAAACTGTGTTACTGATACGATTTGTATTAGGAGGGAAAGGATGTTCCTTCTGAAAGAATATAGTCAATGATTACAAAGTTAGTTAGGAGGTGGTTAGTTAGTTAGGTGGGTCGGTTTTGTTTGTATAAAAGAGGGGTGTTGTCCTCTCTATTAGAGATGGGGTGATATTTTCTGAATAGAGATGGCAACACCCCCCTTTTATGCAAACAAAATCAGCCCACCTAAATAACTAACCACCTCCTAACTAACTTTCTAATCTCTGAGTATATTCTTCCAATAGGAATATCCTTTTCCTCCTAATACAAATCGTATCAGTCACTCCCTCAGCTTATAGAATATTTGCTTACTAGAGTGAGAATTATCATGTTAATACCGATTTATTATTTGTACACCCCACAGCTTCAGCAGATTGGTGATTTGTGTATCATAATCTTAGAGGGATATTGTATAAAAATTTCTTTCAATTTCCTGATCTGCAAAACAAATTGGTGTTGTTTTTAAATTATGAAGCTAAGTTTTTGAGATTCCCTTCAAATCTGGACATCTATGAGGGAATGATAGTTATTTATCTCTCCAGCAATTTAATTTGCTTTTTTTTTTTGTTGTTGCCTTATTTATCTTAGCGCAAAATTGCATCGTTAATTGGGATTGACCATTGATACACCAAGTTTTATTTGTTTAAGAGGACTACTGGATTCATTTCATATTTACGAAATTGGAATGGACGTAAGTGAAAATCTTATAAATTGAGGTTTTATTGGAATACACACAATTTTAAAGTTCATTATATGTTAAGACAAATTAAAGTTGTTATGGCATTTTTAATGGGTTTCTTGTCAGTCTTTGTTGTTCTTGTTTTTTATATTTATTTATTTTTTTGGTTTAGTGCATAACAAGTGAGGGTTTTGAGCTGACAAGAGTTACTCTAGTGGATGTCAAAGGACAGGTATTCACTGAATTTATCTTCTGAACTCCTTTTTGTAAAATAAATGCATCTACTGATTTTAGGAGGCATGGCTATTAGTTCTTACATTTCAATCAATTATTATGACTAGTCAAATTTTTATATCTTGCATTGGTTTCTATGTATAATGTATCTATTTTCATTGAGGTATATATAAATTGGCATGTCTCTTCTTACTGAAGATTGTTGAACTTGGAAGAAGTTATTGAGCGCCCTTTATCATGAAATTCTATGTTATTTTGCTTACCACTTCATGGATATCATTGCCTTCTGGCCCTTAGAAAGGAACCTTAATTTTTACATATTTGCCATTCAAAAAGATGCATGCTATTGCGTTGAGATTCTGTTTTCGGTGTTCTTTATTCCTTCTCGTTTACAATCTTTACGAACTTGAAGTAACCTTTTTACATATTAAGACTTGGTTAACTCGTTAAAATTGAGAACAGCTACCTGCACATGATGGCTGATTTCCTAATATTTGTAACTTTGAATTTTATCTTTTCAGGTTTTGATGGATAAATTGGTTAAACCTTCAAATGCTATCACTGATTACAACACAAGGTGAGCGATTGTTTGAGTATCACCAACATGCCTAAATAAGTTTATTATTTAATATTGGAAATAATAAAAAACTATTGGTAAGTGGATTCTCATGTCTTGTGTATTCCTCATAAGTGAGTTGGTAAAACTAATTGCTTCTAACACTTTCTGCGCAATTTTTTGTTTCTGTTAGTGATTATTTATGAGTGATCTGTTTACTGGGTGAGTTTTATATTAGCAACATTTCTCTATTTTCTCTTTGGGGCTGAGACTTTCACCTCATTGTAAAATCTTCTAATAAGGCTTATTGTTTTTTGTTTTGTTGCTAAGATATATATGTATGGCTTGGTGGTTTCCATTTAATGTGGGGTTGAAATTTTCATGAAACAAAGAGATCAAAAGTATTCAGAATATTTTGTTGTTTCTAGTGCTAGAAACCGCTAAACAGATTGGGAGACTATTGGATGATATTCTTCAATCTTGGGATACTCCAATCAATTTGTAATGAAAGCAAAGCCAAAAAAAAGAAGTGAAAATTAAAAAATAAAAAGGTGAGAGAGAAAAAATGATAAAAAGGGTGAATTTTTTTCCATATGAGCTGTTTTTCTTTCTCCCCTGGACTTGAATACAAATTTTCAGCAGCAAGGAATAATTATGTCATGTGCAGATATAGTGGAATAACATCTGAGATGTTAGATGGGGTGACAACAAGTCTGAGAGACATTCAGGTTTTGCTACTTGAGTTATCTTGTTTTGTTCTTTATCTAATGCCGGTTATTAGGCACAACTGTTGTTATGGTGCTGAACCATTTTAGTTGTAACTATTTTGCTGATTTCTTTCAATGGCTACCCATGTCCAGGAAGAGTTTCTAGAGCTGGTTTACAAAGAGACTATCCTTGTTGGGCATTCTATGGAAAATGATTTATTAGCATTGAAGATATCTCATGACTTGGTCATTGACACAGCAGTATTATACAAACACCCCCGAGGATCATCTTATAAAACTGCTCTACGGTTTCTTGCTAAGAGATTTCTTTCAAGGGAGATACAGCAATCTGGGAATGGACACGACAGCATTGAAGATGCTAGAGCTACCATGGAATTGGCACTATTAAAGATCAGAAATGGCAAGTAGTTCTTTTGCATGCGTTAATGCTGCAAGCTGCTTGTTGAAGTTGTTAATGCATTACAATTCATGTGTTCTGTGAACATTCCTGTGTGTGAACGTATCTGTATATTTATAAGAAAATGTTTGTACCATTATTTAATCTTTCACAGCTGTTGTTTATTGTTCGGAATTACTTTGAAAGCAGATGTATCTTTGCTCTAGTTTCAGATAGAATGACATTAGACCTATTTATGAAGTGAAATTTTTATGAATTCCACCATTTGTTATCTTTGTTGTGATTATATTTGCGCTCATTAGATTATGCAGTTTTTCTGCTGAATTATATCTTTTTTGCATGAATTATGAACTTTTTAATTTTTTTTCACTGAAATACCAAGGATCGTCCTCTTTGCTTCTTTCTTTCTTTCTTCATCATGGGGAAAAAGGAATTAGGGTGATTCAAAGATTTTAAAAAGTTAAATTTTATAATAAAAATGTATAAGTAATTGAAGATTTATGCTAGCTTCTTGTCATGGGGGAAGTCTTGGGGATACTTGAATTTGTTATTTGCATTATTGCAGTCATCTATTTCGGAACTTTCATTTTACCTAATTCTTTATTTAGAAATTTAAACATGTTTCTTTGCCTGTACTTTTCAATTTTTAAGTTACTAACCATGCACACTTAATCGTATACAGTTTTTACATGGTTTAATTGTTCTATTAATAGAAAATTGTGTTTTTCAAGCCCCCATACAACATAACCATGTTTTTTAATTTATTAAGTAATAAGTTGACCTGCTTCAATAAATTACCTTCAAGGATTCAACTTCAAGAAAAGCTTTTATTTCCATACTCTTGTCTTATTGTGCTTGTCAATTAACTGCTGATTTGACTTGTAGTTATATACGAGGGACAATTGTATATTTTTTCGAGTTATGATTCATGTATGCCTCCAACTAAAGACTGCAGGGAAATGAGTATTTTGATTTTTATCGACAAGCTCTATTTATTGTTTTATCTTTCTGTATTATTGCTTTTTATTTACTTAGTTTGTTATATTTTAATTAGCAAACTGCTGTCACATTTTTTGGCTTCACTCTTGAAACAGGGCCTGACTTTGGTTCCCCTCCATCCTTTATGCGGAGAAAGCTCCTTTCCATTTTGAGCGAATCTGGCAAAACTTCCTCATTGATTGATGATATATCCATAGTAAAACGATATGCCTCTGAATCCGCTCATGCAATTCCAGTGACCTCTGATGATGAAGCACTTGCAAAAACCAACAAGGAGGTAGATGTCTTAGCTGGCTATATTTTCAAGTGTTATCCTTTCTGATTAAAAGTTATAATTATGCTTTTTGTGTTGTTTTATGCCTTTTATGTTTCAGTTGAAGAATGAAAAGGTGCACTTTATCTGGACTCAGTTTACAGAGTTACACTCATACTTCAAGAATCAAGCTGAAGAATCAGAGAACTTTAATAAAAGACTTGCAGAGATGATGTCATTACTTACATGTCAGAAGAATTTTGCAAAAGGGAAAGGCTTAAAGTTGAGTGCATCTGCTGAACTGAAGGAAATTCTGGCTCGCATGGATGCTAGAATTCATAAACTGTATATGTCATTACCCGCAAATGCTATGTTGATAATTTGCACTGGTCATGGAGACACTGCGATTGTCCGCAGGTAGATATGCATGCCTTTTTTTATATCTAAGTATTCTATCTTTCTATTTGTTTTTACTGGTATACAGTTTTCGCCTTAAAATAATGTCAGCAAATTAATGTTTGACCCTTGAATGATGTAATATGTCCCAATTTGAGTCCTTATATATAATTTTCTCAACTGGACTGGAAAACTAACTATATCAAACTTGGACCAGAAAATGTCACTTTTGGCATCTCCCATTTGACATGGGATTTGATTGTCCATAGCTTATTTAGAATAGGAGTGGATCCTGAAATGGTATCCTTTGCCCTAGGTGACCTTTAATTTTTTAATTTTTTATAATCACTTGGTGATCTTAGACCAAGTCACACCACTTATTAGGGTTCCGTGTGAGCTATCCACAGTCCATGGAAGCTAACCCATCAGTTGACAAACAACACAGATTGAAACTTATTGAGGTAATTATAGATATGAGATTCAGCTAATTTATTGTGACTTTGTCTGTGTCTGGAACTTGAGTAAAGCTAGGGTTGTAGTATTTTTACTAATGTTATTTGTTTTGAATGAAAATTGATGTTGTTTTCACCTTTTTTTCTTTATGAAGGCTGAGGAGAATGCTTGCTGAGCAGAGTGAAAGTAATTTATGTCGTGAGAAGATTGTGGAAATCTTGGAAGAGGTTCAGGCTAGAGCTGAGGTAGCCTTGTGTTTTGTAGGTGTAAAGAATTGAGTATGAATAATACAAAATGACTGAAATTATTCTTGATAACATGTGGTGAGTACCCACTATTGGTAAGGTCTCACGACAAGAGTTCATGTATTTCATAACGATATCAGAAAAAAGAAAAAAGAAAAAAAGAAGAAAGAAAATACAAGAGCCCCGAATTTTATCAATAATTCTGCTTTCTAAAATTATTCATTGGTTTTGCATTTTAAGTAAATAATCTTCTTTTTCAGATATTAATAAATTTGAAAGTAGGAGCGGAAAGTATGGGGCTTGTGAGCATTAGCAATTGCGTTTGGGAAAAGAATTGAGATGAAATAGTTGGAAAGATTTAGAATCGTAACAACAGAATTAGAACTCATCAATTACTTATAACTACATATATTTTTACAGTCAATTAATCATCAGAATCACAAACTTATTAATATACTAACAGCATCTTGAATTATATAGTTTTGTAACTATCCAAATTTAATCCACTAGCATCTAAAGTTATGCAGTGCTATGCATTATGATTTTGCCGGAGCAACATAATACTTTTTGAATTATTGCTTCTTCAGAGTCAAACTTTTGACGCAACTAATTTGGCTCACCAATGCATTACTAACTGGCCTGATGGGGACCGTCATTCAATTCATAACACATTTATATACTTAAGCTATTAGCACTCATCTATAATTGTCAAGGCCTTAAACAAATTATAACTGCCGTAAGCTATTAGCATCTCAACGTGACATCCTAACCAAATTGAAATTAAAGGAAATAAACAACACGGTTGAACAGATTATGCGAACAAGTTATGCAAAAGAAGAAATGCAAAATTACGCTAACAATTAACAAGGAATGATGTCATTACAACCCAAAGCACAGTGTTTAATGTTGTCATTTACTCCCTTGTTCTCCAACCACGTTAAGCACTTAGATAACATGAAAGTTCGTATTAGCTTAAAATTGCACCTTAGTATACATCTGGATCCGGACTGTGCTTAAACATACAAATAGACTAAGCAAGCAAGCAAATACTGCATTAACACTACCAGAATGAATCTCACGTAACAAAATAATTGTCTTGGTCACTTCCATGCTGAAGCAACAATTAAGTTTTTGTCTTCCCACCCAAAAAGAAGTGTCCCCATTTCCTCCTTTATCTTGTACCTGTCACAGTACTGCTTAATGAGTTTCTTAATTGCTTCTATCACACATGTGCTCATTGGGGATGAAGTGAAGCCAGCCATTGTCATCCTTGCCCTCCATTTTCCAGCAACTTCATACCGTTCTATTCTATCCTCGCCCTCACACGCCACAATATTCACAATGTCCCTTGCCAAGCATTGCCTTTCAACATTTATCCTGTCTTGGCTCTCCCTAGGAAGAGTTGCATCAAGTGAGTCAAACACAGCAGAGTAGTAATTGTAGGCTTCAACAAATCTTGGGATAAAGGGGGAGGTGTTAGTGTTCATGTCTTGTTCCACAACTGTCACAAGTTTTGGATTCAGGCTTTTAACCATGCGAAGAAGTTGGTCACGTTCATTTACAGTTGATACACTTTCATCATGCATGTGATGAAGCTGGAATGCAAAGTTCACCACAAGTGCTTCACCAGGACGACAGTTGAGCATTGATGGAGTGACAAGTGAAGTCCTTGATGCCACAGCTCGAAATTCAAATGGCAATCCAAGTGCTTCTGCAAGCTTTTCAAGTCTTTGTCCTATGATACTTAAGCCTCCAACAGATCTTTGCACAGACTCAGGATCATCAACCCCAGTCAATGTCACATGGGGTGGCTTACCTTGCCTTGAAGCAAGTGTTTGTATTAGAGTTATGTATTGACTTCCTTGATTGATGTCAAAATCTATTATGTGAACCTTCTTTTCATCTTTAACAGCCTCTGCAATAGCGCCATTCGCAGCAATAAATCCAAATTTAAAACATGGGCACACCTCAAATAGTATCTGCATGGCTGCTAGACGATCTGAAGAAGGAGGTTCCTTGCATTTCAAAGCTTTATAAATGCATTTTCCGGATGAAGCCACGCGAGCTGCAAGTCCTTCCACCATATAGGCTGCAATTCTTTGGGAAGGATCTCCCTGAATTGAGACCATCTGCCGGAGATTATTTATCATTGATGAGGCTCCCTCTTCATTTCCTTCTGAAAGTGCACTAGCACATTCATAAAGCAATTGCTTGGGGGTCCGAGGAGAGTTATGTGATATTTCTTTGGTGCTACTGAAGCTACTAAGATAGGAATCTGAGGACGAAGACTCCTTCGGTGAGTCATGGAGCAGCATATCAGCAATGTCAGGATCAATCTCCATGCTTTGAGCAGTACCAAATATATCTTCCTCCTCCTCCTCATCATCATTATTATCACCAAGCAATTCTCTCTCCAATTCTTGTATTTTTAATCTCATTTCACCATCAAAGTCAAGGCAATCCGGGCTCTCATTTTCCAAGAAATCTGATCCAAAGTTGGACTGATAGGCATCAGAGTGCCTTGTAGACGAAAAAGAAATATCAAATGGATTATTAGCAACCATAGAAGCTCCTGAACTAGCTCTGAGCTGGTAAGAAGAAGCACCATCAGGGTGAATTGAATTTCCTGATATGCTGGAACTAGATGGTTCTATCGGTTCTTCTGTAGGTGAATCAAGGAAGTACTTTTCATAACTCTCACTCGAGTAAGAATCAGTCTCATACATGCTTCTGTGCTTATCAGAACCAAAATTATGGGAGGATGAGTCAGGTGTAACATCAGTTCCCTTTAGAGAGTAAAGCTTGGCATTCCTATATGATGTATCAGCCAGCTCTGAAGATATAACTAATGACATAGTTCGCCTTTTATTCAGTCAGCTCTTATAAAATTTCAGTCTGCACCGAAAACATCACAAAGATTAGTCAGGAAAATGCTATAAATTCTGCAATCAATTAAATCTACCGCACTTTATTTAATTTTTTTGTTCCCTTTCCCACCTTGAGAAATAGTAAAACAGGCCAAGTAGCTCACTGATGAAATCTTGTTGAACCTTCTAGGATGCCTATACTGAGATTAACAAAATTTGAAGACACTTCCAGTTAGAACAGCATATCTATATAAACATGATAAAACATACTAAATACACATAGGAGTTTAGTAATTTACAGACTGACAGCCTCATGAATAAGCTGGTTGATAGTAATTTCAATTCACAAAAGTTTTTATCTAAAAATTGAAGTAAGCCTTATGCAATTGTGTGCTTTAGACTAAAATTAGAATTTGTTGCCACTTGATCTTTAGACCACGACTATGATTTTGAATGTATTCAAGTACTAACTGTGATCTCACTTGGCCAGCAAAGAGAATTCAAACTTCCTTTTTAACAAAACTTAGTTATTAGCTTTGATCAAATATGATTTGACATGACAGATAAAGTTCCACCTTAGCATAGCAAAGAATATCGTTCCTAACATAGTGGCCTCATTGTATTTTGAAGAGAAAAATAAAAATCAAAGACTTTCCTTTACACCCATATAGACATAACCAAATACATTCTTGAAATCAAATGAAAAAGCTCAGGAAACAAAAAGTTCCGTATTGATCTAAGATTCTTCAGACATTCAACTTAAATCTTAAAACTTATCTGCCACTTAAAAATGAGGATTTTCTACGAGGTTGACAAAATATTTGCTCTTCGAATATGATATATTTACTCTAGTCTGAAAGAACACAGAAATGAATCTCCTTCTGTAAACACAAATTATTATGTTAAGAGACTCAAGCAACAATTAGGTTCCAATTCAGTTTGATTACATAGATAAAATTGATGACCATGCATAAAACTTTTTGGATTTCACCTATCACTTTTTATGTCCCTGGCCGGGAGAATCTACGGGCTAAAGAATCCTATATGACAAAACAGCATCATTTGAAGACAAAACAAAACTCCCTACCAAAATCCAATTTCGTTTGAAATTCCAACTCAGAAGATGAGTATGTATTGCAAAAGCAGAAACAGAAAAAGGTTAAACAAAAATCCCTTGGGAGCATAGCAAAGACCCACCCATGTAAGGAAAAAATACAAACTTTCTTTAGAACAACGAAATTTTAACAAAAGCATAAAGACCAAGTTTAGAAACTAAAGAGCAAAGACCCTTTTTTTTTTCTCTAGTCCTCTTTAATTCACAAGCAATCATTTAGGATTGCAACTGATAGCAGCTCTTATCCGAAGGAATGACCCAAGTTAACAAAATTTAAAGCATATCATCAAAATTCTAGAGGCAGAAATTAAAGAAGTGACAAAGTGTACCTGATGCAACGTGAAACCAAGAAGAAGACTCACGGATCAAAACAGTGTTCCTGCCCTGTCAATGGACACACAGAGAGATGAGGATGTACCTAAGGAATGCTTCAACAGGTAGAGAAAAGAAACTCAGGTAAGGCTTTTGACCAAAGTGCCAGAGAGATTATAACCAACCCCAAAGACAAAACAACCTCTTCATGACTCCTCAATATATTAAAGAAATTTGTTTGATTTGAAAGGTCAGATTGGTGGAAAAGCAACAGATTGGACAACAACCAAAAAAAAATTAACAAGAAGGAACTTTTAAGTCTTTAAGAATTAACATGCACAATCAAATAAATATAGATGTAGCCATGGCTCAAGTTTAAAACTTTCTAAGAAGCAATTAATTAGATTATTTTATCACATACGCATATAAACAAAATGTCTTTAATGTTTTTAAAGTAAATGTAAATAAGTTATTTACATTCGCTGCTAAAATAATGTCGTTTTGAGTTAAAAAATAAAAAATTATAATAAAAAAAACTATTATAATTCTGAAATAAATTATAATTACAAAAATGCTCTTAAAATAACGTCATTTTAAGCTCAATATAGATAAATTATCTAAATTATCTACTATTTTAGGCTCAATATGGGGTAATATCATTTCATATAAGAAGAAGAGAAAGACAAAAAAAATATAAATTCTTTAAAAAAAATAAAATATGAATATTATATTTTTTTATATACGTGTATAAAATAAAATTATCGAAGGTTAGTCTTACAACTTATTTTGGTTTACAACCTCTTACAATCATATTTTAATCGTTGATTTTCGTCAATCAATAATTATTATTTTCGTAAATCAAATTTATTAATTATTATTTCACAATAAATAAAAATTGTTGATTAAATTCAGTTTCAACTATTAAGATATGGTTATAAATAAAAATTGATTATATGTATATCCTTTCCTCTATTATAATATTAATCCCTACTAAAAAATGGAGGTGAGTTAAAAGGAAATCAGCAACCCAATTAAAGAAACAATGTGGAATAATAAACATACTCATATTCTAAAGAGGGCCATTTATTTTATCTTATTAATAAGCAAAAGGTAATCATGACTATAATTAAGCAGAGCTTCTGGAATTCATTGAAGTGATAAGCAAGTGGAAAATTCACCTTATATAGAATAGAATTAATTAAGGAAACTTGTTAGCTTTCCCTGCAACTTGTCTGTCTCTGACCGAAGGCATTGATCGCACGAAACTATGATATGGACAATATTATATGACATAAGATACCCATCGAGGAGGTTGCAATTGCAAATGATTACACTGTATTGCCCCTCCATCCTTCAATGTTGACCGTCGATTAGTGGCAATTAAGTCTTTTCGTTCTTCCTCAACTCTAAACTCCAACGTGACAACTAACTTTAATATACATAAACTTATATTAATCAACGAATTGAATGATTCTACCTCTGAAATATTGGATGATAATCCTTATCTTTTAAAATAATTTTTAATAATATAATTTATTTCTTCAAATAAAATTTCACCATCCCTTCTTCACGGTCTTCTTCTAGCTTCTTCACCTTTGTCTCAATTACCTAGTTCAATTCTAATGATTCAACCGTGTACACGTGTCAAATATTTTTTTATTTATATATTAAATTGCTTTGATTGATTAATACAAATATCTTTAGATAAGGTCGATTCCTTATGTGTCTTGAACCCTATATATATCCTTTAATTGATGTTTTTAATTAGTTTCATGACAAAAAAATAAAATAAAATAGATCCGTAATTGTTCACTTGGTCTTTTCACATGGACACGGTTGAAACATAGTTAAGTGGGACTAGGCAATAACATCATGGGAGACACTTGTTTCGTTATATCTTAAAATGGAACGCAAAAAATTCAACGGTGGCTAGTGACGCGTAACCTTTCATCATCATAACTCCATGTTGTGTGTTTCTTTTCGAGAGGCGTGGTTATGGGAATGGAATTTAACTAAAGTAGATGGTACCCACATGTTCGATTTTGCTTTTAATTTTTTCCATAACATAATTTAATTAAACATTTTCCATAGCATATTCTTAAATAAAAAAAAAATAAGCTAATCAACATTCCTATAATAGTAATTTTTTAATACCCAAAAATTATAAAAATGAAAAAAAAGGGAATAGTTGTACTTTTTGACGAAGTCAGAGTTGTGCAAGTCGTCACCTTTAGCAAGTTCAAACCTCTTTACCTACACCAATATTGGTAGGCAATGGTGGACAATTTTCTTCTCCTTTTCTGCTACCGCGTGAGACTTATCATGCGAATGTAAAAAGACATGCATGCCCTCCCCTTTAATTATTCTCGAGTAAAATGATGACACAACATTTCAACAAAGGTGAAAGTAACATGTTCTTCAATAACCAAATTGCTTTTTTTGTTTTCGTATAAAATATTTACCATGCTAACTTATTTGTATGTGCATCTAGTGGGGGAGGACAAGTGTATCCAATCGTTTCATGATTTCTGGTGTGAAATGAATCAAATATGCCGTAAGTTACGTACGTCTTAGTTATTAAGAAGAAACTGTAAGCATCCAAGAGATTAACATCCACGCAAGTTTTATTTATTAGTAATTAAGTCTTAATCATTTCCCCTTCATCTTATCCAAACTGATCAAATCAGGGTAGCTGGAATGCAGAACAAGAAAATAATTGATATATTTATTAAAAAAAAAGTGCTTACATTGATTTTTCTTTTGGTTTGAAATTTATTCAATGTTAAGCGGTAATTACCTACATGATTTTTCTTTGATTTTATGTAATATGAATATTTTCAGACACTCGGTCGCTGGCTGCATATCAATATTTTGAAAATAAAAAATTAGCATCAAGAGAAGTTTAAAGTTTTAAGATCATGATGAAATTGGTTTTGTAAATGTCTATACATTTTATTAAGGGATAACATCTCCTTGCATCGGTGTAAAAATAACAAATTTTAACTAATTTTTGTATATTTGACGGTTATAATTTAATGAGAATTAATACTTAATTAATTAATATAATCCAATAAATCACAACTATCAGATACATGAAAATTAATAGTTAAGATTTGATACAAGATTTCTTATTCTTACATCAGTATAAAAATATTGTGCCCCTTTTATTAATAGGATCAAGATCATTTTATACCAGTGTAAGTTACATTATCAATCTCAGTCGTTGATCCAACTTAGATTTAACGACTCTAATTTTGAAGTAATGTTAGCCGTTGGATACAAATAAATAAATGATTAAGATTGAGTGTAATATTTTTTATTTTTACAGCGGTATAAAAATATCTTGTCTCTTATTAATATATAATATTATCTAAAAATTTAAGAAATAGGAGATAAATGAGGGTTTATTGGGGAAGAGTGACAGTTTTATTGGCCTGTTGAGTTGGGTTTGGAGGACATTCAAATCACTTTCGATTGATGTATTTAGCACATCTTTCCATTGCATAAAACAAAGGCGACCACAGAGATTTTGAGACACGGTTTTCAGCTGATAATAATACAACAGCATATCCAAACCTTGGTCTTCTTCATGATTAAAGATTTGGGTTGCACCTAACCAAGGAATTTAAATAAACATTCACACTAATATTTAAATCAAAGTCGTTGAGATTAAGAAAGAAATCACATGGAAATTAGGTTGCATCTCACTATTTATAACAGTATTTTACAAGCACTATGTAGAGCGAGCAAATGTCAATAACACGCTGTGTACGCCGTTATTGGGTATTCTTCTTGTAGTTGTTGTTTGTTAGCAATAATATTATATTTTTCATAAATTTTCATGAGGCCATTGGGCCACGGGTTATGGGCCTTTAAATAAAAAGTTCAAGGAAGGTAAAAATAAAAAATAACCAAAATACATAAAACATATTCCTCATCCTCATCATATCTTCATTAACATAATTTCTGACGGAACAAACGATTAGACAAACAAATGACTAAGCAGAAGCAATCAACGTAAAATAAGTTAATATTAATAGAGCGGAAAAGAATAAGTTGAAGAATGATTTAAGGAACATATACATAAATGCAATCTTATTTGGTATGTAATGTGCTTTAACGTGCGTTCCTTATTTGGTTCTAAGTAAGAAGATTGATGTCATTCTATTGCTATATTTATAATAATTGTCCCCTAATTCCTTCGTTGCCAAATTAAAAATAATAAAATGCATCAAGCATGCCGCATATACAGTTATAGTAAGCAACTAAGACATTAAATAATTTTCAAGTCCTAAAGTAAATGTCGGCATATAGATGAGTACAAATGTTACGCTGACTTTGATTTGAAAATTTCTATCATCTTCCAAAGCACAGGAACACAAGATTTTGGACTTAAACTCGTGCTAAACTATTATTTACTGGGTGTTTGGGCTTGTTCTAGTAGCATAATAAAAAATATATCCAATCTTTAATCTTCATGTCCAATTTTAATTGGTTTTGGGTTTGGTATTGGGCTCTAATCAAAGCCCACAATCATGAAGCTGTGCTACCTTAAACCGATTCTTAATAATCTTATGCATGACGAATTGATCATAAACACATGCTGGACTAAAAAATTGTTTATGATTAGTTGAGAGAATTTAAGCTTTGATAAAGTAAAATGAACAAAGGTGGGTGAAGTGTCATTATCTGGTGGCACAAAGTTGTCGCTTTTGGTTATTGAAACCGCGAGACA